GACACACCTCTCCAATTTCAAGAGACTCCAAATTCCTGATATATGAGTCATACCTAACATAAAAATGATCATTTATATAGATTTTGTTTTGGGATAATTACATACATATTATCATAAACATTATTATTAATAAAATTTAAGATCTATATGATATTTTTATACTATCGAATCAATATATTTGTATGTGCCACAGGCAAATCACTTAGAATATGATTAAAATTAAAAGAATAATTAGGATTTTATCATGAATTTTGATATTTGAACGAGAATTTGAAAAATAGGCTAAAGATATGCTAGATTGGAAAATAGTAGTGTTTCACGTGCCTTGTATGTAAACTATCATTTTTTTTTCTTTGATTTTTTTATATAAGAAAATTGCCATTTTTTTTAGTATTTACACGCATACCACACAATTACTACACATTTACATAAATATCCAACGCCTGAACTTCAAAATTTATATTTATACCATCCAAATCTTCCATATCACATGAGGATATCTCCATATATAGGAGGACATGTATGTAAAGATTGAAGTTTAGGTGTTAGAAATGTAAATACTAAGGAATTGAGGGTTATGTATGTAAATCTTCCTAATGAGAAAAATATAAAAAAAAGCCGGGCCTTTTTGGCTGTTTCAAGTCTTGTTATTCGGAGAAAAGAAACGAAATGAATCATGGCCGCCGAGCCAAATCCTTTTCACATTTGTGGTCAAGGGACTCAAAAATAAGTTAGGACTGAAATCCCCAATGGTACATTATATTAATAAAGGTCCTTTATCAAATTTGCATGAAAAAAAGGTGCTTAAGACCTAACATTTAAATCTTTTATTGCATAAACACAAAGGAAACTTGCTTTACATGTTAAGTCCCACATGGCAAATTAGCTGTCAATTGCTACGATTTTTTTTTTTTCTAAACTCCTTTAGATTATATGGTGAAAATTGATCGATTATGCGGTTTTCTAAAAATTTTGCCTTCGCAAGAGGTAGAAGTGAATAATCTCACACAAAATACCAGTGAATTTAAAAATTACTTCAAATAATTTGAACGATTATGAAAATTCTTCCTCGAGCTTCTTGCTTACAAGAGAGTCATCCTCTACGTTCAAGTTTTATGTAAATAACCTACAGACATCATTGTGACTTGTATGACTGAATTAATTGTTAAAGCATTCCGTAAAATATTTAATCTTACTGTAGGAATGGTTGTACTTTGTTGCAGTTCAGTAGAACATACAAAATAGTTGTTTGAAGGTCTCGATCATTTAGGTAGCGCGTACCATGTCTTCCTAATGATTCACCAGATACACGAAATGCCAACACTTCTGTTTGCGAAGGCATCTGACCAACAGTTTCATGCTTATGTTGTTCTTGATTGAAGTAATAAGAACATAAAGTAATTGTCTTCTGTAATAGGTATACCTAATCTTTTTTTTTTCACTCTAAATAAAATACATACCTTCCAAAGGGATACATCCAAAAAGAACTGCACTGGTCCCCTCAGTATAGCCTCATAACACAGCTGAATGGGCAGATGCTCCATAGAGTCAAAAAAATTGGGAGAAAATATCCATTCGAGCTTGCACAACAATTGTGGAATACTCGCGTCAATACTTCGCAAAGAATGAACATGCAAAGTGCATGCACACAACTTCCTAAATAATGTATTGATTTTGATCAATGGATCGAGTGTCAGCTTTAACAAAGTATTGAATGCAATAGGCAATAAACACTGCATGAAAATAGGCAACAAATACTGCATGAAAATATGACAGTCGTGACTTCATGCCATGCCAAATACTTTTTTCATGCCCAAATCAACACATCAGCTTATATTAAAAGCACAACCACTTGGAAACTCCAAGGAATGTAACCACTCAAAGATTGTTTTTTTATTGATTCGATGTGAGATAATATGTAGCTTTGTGTTATATTACTCTGCCTGCATTTGTCTCTTGCAGTTCTACCCCCTCCTCTTGCTCTTTCAAATACATTCTTGTTTTGATGTTACCCTTTGTTTTTTCTCTTGATATCACGAACAGTGTTCAATATATATCATCAAAAAAAAAATTTCTCGATATACATAAGGTATATATTATGCTCAGATTTTTTCTCAATATACATAAGATCTAGATTATGCTCAGATTAGTTTTCCAGTATGGAAGATTTGGAAAAAATACACTGTTTCATCCAATTATGTGTAACGTCATAATCTGAAAGATGACTTGAGGCTAATTTTGGCCTCTCAATAATCTTTGAAACTTTACTGATCATTTGCAATATGTTACTACCACTAATCCTTACCAGTGGACTTGATCCTTCAGCTCTATTTCTGAAAAATAAATCTTTATTTCTTTGGAATGGGTAGTGGACTTGATCTTTCAACTCTATTTCTGAAAAATAAATCTTTATTTCTTCGGAATGGGTGATGGGTAATCACCCGCTAAAAATCTTTGGTGACAATCAAACTAAGATTTTTTTCTCCATGCTTCAAAGTAAATGGTTTAGACATGTCCATGCAATAGAGATATCTCAATTTCCCAGTTGTGCTTTAACCATATATCATCCCATAAGTAGAGAAATCACTGATTGTCCACATAAGAGCAACTCTGAGGTAATAATTTTGTTTTATTGCAATATCATAAGTCAACACTCCGATTTTCTATAATACATTTAGCTTATCTATAAGTGGCTGTAAGTACACATTAATTTTACTCTTTGGGCTATGTGGACATAGTATGATCAATTTTAGAAATAAGAACAACACAATCATACACATATCAGGAGGCAAATTATATAGCGGGATAATAACTGGGCAACAAGAATACGATGTTGTAGCATGATTGTAAGGAGTGAACTCATATGCACATAAGCCAAGCTAAACGTTGTGTGGTTCTACTGAAAATTCCAGATAACTGTGATCAAAATGTTTTCAATCTTCACCAGCTGAGAGATGAGTCATTGTATTAGCATCAACAGATCCAACATTATGTCATGCCAAGTGGGGAGTTGTGCGCATAGAAGCAAACAGTCATTGGAGCCATAAAATGAGGGAACATAAAAGACACGTTTGTATGGATTATTCTTCTAGTTTTTACTCTTTCTTCATCTTGATTTGAACCTATTAGCACTAAAAAATCTACATTTTGTCTCTTGTGTATTCTCCCTGTAATATAACATACAGACGTTGATGCATACAGTAGCCCCAACTTCGCCATTAACTTTTTAATTATGCACAAATCTTCTGGAACTTAAGTATCAGCAAGGTTTACCTCCTTTAATAATGTTGCAACCCGATTGAAGCATTCCCTGGGCATTTTAAAATTGGATTTGATACACAACACTTTTAGGATGACTATTAACTTTGTGTATGAAGCGCATCCTTCCCACAATGGTTGTTGGGCAATATTTAATAGTTCATAGAATTGTTGTGCTTCACTGTTCGATTCCTGATCATCATCAGACGCACTCCCAAAGGAATGAGCCCGCTCGCATCATCAATCATTTGCTCATATATGTCAGAATCGTGAACAGTTGGGACATAATTTGATGAGGCTGCCACATGATTGTACTGAACATCTAGTTAAAATTCACCATGTGAAGTTCAATACCAATAATCGGGTTTAAATCCCCTACGGTATAGGTACAACTTCACTTTGTTAGATGTCTGGTACGCTTGATTTTTATGCCTCAGAAGGGCATCAAAACTTATTTTCTAAGAGGTAAACAGGTAATTGCGATGCCACATGCACAAACTCTTCAACACTAGCACTAAACTCATCATTTAATCTTTCTTCCTGAATATAATCCGTTATACATCCATGATCTAACGCTTTGAATACCAATCTGCATCATAAATGTAGCTCTGTAGATTAGTGCATCTACACATTTAACATCATACTTACAATCTTAGGGCACTTACACATCATACCTGAATCCCATAGCCCACAAAT